TTACTGAAAATGTTGTATTTTGTGTTTGGTTGGTTTAGCAAGAATGTAAGATTACCATGTTTGGTTAAAGGAATAAAAGATTATTAGAATGTATATTTAACCAAATTGTTCTTATTATATATTTGTTTTTTAATAAGTTGGAAAATATTTATATATATTTTTTAAAAAATTTAAATTCATAAAATTCATATATTTTTTTTACAAAACTGAAAATACAAAAATGTTTAATGAAAGGGTAAAAATTATAAACTTTTTTTTGTAAATCTAAAATAGTTTAAGGATAAATTTGTAATTTAACCTTCGTAGAATTTTTATTATTCAATGACAGAAGAATGATATTTTTGAAAAAAAATTAAGGGCATTTTAGTCCAAAACGTCGGTAATCCAACAATACCTAAGGAAAGGGATGTAATGACATTTTCGGTAATATACCCCAAAAAATCTACTATTGGTAATAAAACATTACCATGAATGAGATTCTCGGCCAACCAAACATGGGAATGTGGATTCTATTCCCATGAGCCACATTCCTTAATCCAAACACCCCCTAAAATACATATTATTCATTTATCTTCTGATCTGACTTTCGGTAAAGAGAAACTGACATGTCTTGCTCCTCATCGATCCATAAGCTCGTCGAAACCTACTAGTGAAACACTCACACGCTAAGTCGTTGACTTAGTGAGACATGTAAATACATAATGTAAACTATAACTAATTAAAAAAAACATGTACATATCATGTAACATAACACAATGCTGGTATGCATACATAAATCATTATCAACATGCTTATCATTACTTATATTATTATCTCTACTTCCTTTTTATCATATTAACATATACTTAACATTACTATACATGTCATCGAATACATATGTCATTTCACAAAAGAGCACACATAATGTCATACCAATTGATTTATTTATTCTCTTTAAAGCCCATATACACTTCTGAGAACTTAAGGTATATGAGTACATAGAGGTTATGCACATATGTTGTCACCACAGCTCGTATAATTCCCACTAGGGGCGCGTAGAATTTGTCCCTAAAAACCACTATGTCCCAAAGGACCACATATTACATATGTCCTGAATGACCACTCCTTAAGAACCATATACATAATACAATGGACCAAATAAGTGTACCGAAGTACCACATATATGTTTCATAAAATTACATATATGTCCCAAAGGACCACGTAGAACCCTTGACTCTTGGCATGCCAACTATACCCCTAGCTCTCATAACACATAACATGGGCATTTTGATTATGTTATCACATTTTCACATATTCACATAGTTCACTTACACGTAGATCATTTTCATACGATTCACAAATCACATATCACATGACTTATAACTCATAGCTTCTTATTACATATCATGTAACATTCTCGTAGAGTCTCATTTTCTAACATTCATATAGACATGTACATATATCATTTCCTCATATCTCTTATCTCTTATAATCATATAATTTATTATTATCCAGGAATCATATTCACATCATTTATCACACATGCATGCATTCACATAGATCACATACGAATATGCACTTAATATCTAGACATATGCATTTACTCATATCCATTTAACATAATATCACTACATGTTTATGCTCCAATATCCATATCACCTAATATTGGAATTAGACTTATTACAAGTCTTAATTCCATAGCATAAATTACACTTATTATCATGTACTCACCTTAATTACTTGCCAATATCAAGCTTTCGTTCTCTCTCTCGAATCTTACTCTGACAGTCTATCCGGACTTTGCTTTCGATCGATATCTACACAAATACGCAATTTAATGAATGTCGAGATTCGAATTACTTGATACGATTCATATCAATACAAACTAAATAAAACTCCAATTTAACTTTCCAACTTAAGTAGTATCAGTACTACCCTCACAGTATCGATACCTCTATGCTAGGGTATCGATACCCTACCCCGGTACCGATACCAAAATTAACTTCGATGTTTCATGGTATTGATACCCTCCACATAAGTATCGATACTTCTTCCATATAGTATCGATATTGCTCATCCAGGTATCGATACCCCATGCATCAATTCCTCATAAATTGCCTTGTAGTATCAGTACCTACTCAATAGGTATCGATACCATTTACCCAAAAAAATGCTTCTTAGCACGAAAATTTTCAACACTTTACCCCAAATTCTAATTATTTACCTCTCCTCATGCCTTTAAACTTATCTATACATATGTAAACCCTTTTTAAACAATATAACACTTCATTATCTTCAATATCTCACTATAACTCTTGAATCAAAGAATTTTACTAAACTTTCCATGTTCTCTAAATTCATTTCTAATGCTTTAAGCTTCTTAATCCTTCTAATGACAAGTCAAATTCATCAATAAAACTTCAAAAACCTCTTTATATCAATAATTCATTTCTACACCCTTAATAAAATTTCCTTTTTATATCTTCATTCTTGATGTTTTAAGCTTATATAAGCTTTCCCTAAGCTTATATAACACCCAAGGAATAAAACCCAACTTAAAAATCCAAGAATCAACCAGTTGAAATTAACTCACCTTTTGCCATGAAGCTTACGGGAAGAAGAAGAAAGCAAGAGGAGAAAGGTTTCCAGAAATCTCCCCCAATCCACATGTTTCACTCTTAATAAAGGAAACAAAAATATCCTTTAAGCTAAAAAGACCAAATTACCCCTTTAATTCATCCATTTTTGCTATTTAATCCAACATTAAAATTCTTTACTTAAATCCCTGAACTTTTAACTTATTTCAAAATTGAGCACAAAGTTTCCAAAATTTACATTTTAGTCACTAGCTCTGATTTTTGGGATGTTACATGCGATTTGCGAATGGAGCAAATTGGGTAGGAAGAGTCACTCTCACCTCTGTAGTACCCAATCCAATTAATTGATTAATAAATTAGATACCAATGATTATTCCATATATATATATATATAATATTACTTATATATAAATACATATATATATATATATATATATATATTATTTTAAAAAAATTGGGGGTTGTCATGACCCCTCTAGTCCTTAAGTAGTTCCGCCTCTGTGCTTCATGTATCTGTTCAAAAATTACTCTCAATCATTTGATATTGAACACTCACACTTGTAGTATTTATGATGCTCGAACCCTAAACCTTAAAAAAAATAACAATTTTTTTACAACCGAGATTTCTAAATAAAAAAATAACTATAATTTAAGGATTCAATTTAACAAACTCTATAACCAAGACTTATTAAGCACCGGACCTCGGGACCATGATATTGGCTGGAATATCTAAAAGGGGTGATAAGTTAAATCTAATCTTGAACCCTTAATTAATAAAGGGTCCCAATTGCTTCCCTTATTTTGTGATTTCATTAATTTAATTTTGATTATTTCAACAAATTAAGTGACAATTATGTATCAATAAGAATCTAATTATTTGTTTTAATTGGGAAACTTTCCTTTTCTCATGAACGAGTGACGATTTTCCTGCTGGAATTTCCCATACAAAGGAAAAAGATTCCACTAGTCGTGTAGACCAAGTGAATAATTAAAAACATACAAAATCAAAATTAAATAAAGAACAAGCAATAAATTATACATAAGCATGGATTAGGTAATAAGTATAGTTTTAACTTCATTCATTAAATTATTATCATGTTCCCATTGATAAGGTAAGAAAGAATGATTTTGGTCTTTAACTACCATCCTTTCACTGCAATGAAATGTGATTGCAAAAAAGTTAATTATTGGATCGACATAAAATGCTAGAAATATGATACAAATGCATGGAGTTGAAAAGGTAAATCCCACCTATATGTTCACAAATTATTTAAGTTCTTTTAAAAATTATATAAAATATTTGAACCCATCGTTGTCGAGACGAATTAAAATTATTAATAAAAATAAGTCTATTATATACTTATTTAAGATTTTTCATAAATTCATTAATTTTTTTTAAAAAAAATAGTTCCGGAAAAATATTTAGACCCTAAAAATTAAGATACATGATTCTAATCCCAAGATCAACAATCGATAAATTATGAGATATGATTGACAACTACTATGCCACGTATCGAAGGACCAAAATAAGAGACTAGCTTAGGACGGATGATGATATTGAATTATCTTATGTCATTCTGAATATATTGTCTTCAATTATCACGTGATATAATATAGAGAATAAAAATCGTACATAAAATAAAAGAAAAATACTTCTCCATAGTGGAGAATTTTTTTCTTTTCTTTTTTTCAAATAATCCGAGTTATCTCATTTAATAGAATTTTCTTTTTTATAAAATATTTTAATTATTGTTATTTTTCAATAACTCTTCAATTAAATTAAAGCAAATAAACCATAGATAAATATCATCGATCTTTGTTTTCCTATTTCTTCGTCAACAAACTATTTTCGCACCAAAACTCATTAATAAAAAAAAATCAACCAGCAAAGCATATACTACAAATAAATGAACATGGAATTAGGATTTAGCATCCATCCAAAGAGATTTCCTGGTATCCTTTTCGGAAATTTCAAAGTCCAGACATGTCGGGGCGACGACTGTTCAACATTGAATTTCTCTACCGGATCTAAATTTTTGGTTAGCCCACCTGTTTCTTACCAAAACTCGGGTCAGTATTTAGTATACTGTATGAAATTAAGAGTTTTTTTTTACTGATGGGCTGAATTGAATTCCAAAATTTTAACAGAGAAAAAGTCAAGATTTACTAAAATAAGGGGCCAAAAGAAAATTTTACCATTTGTTATCTAAAGGTTTTATTAGTTTTGGAGGTTAGAATAATAATTTTACAAAACGGGACTAACCCTCTGGTGTTGCCCTTGTTTACATGGCATGCTCATCCCAATTGTAGCTTAAAAAACTGGACCAGTTAAATATAACTATAAAATATAAAATTTGGAAACAATATAAATATTGCTGTGTTTTTAACAGTTGTAAAAGGCTTAAACCAGAGCTTCGGGAGTCGTGCTCCTTAGAGCATCGTCCCTAGGACCCTAACACATCTCTCTCTGTTTTCTCTCATCTGTTTCAATGTTTGATCAGTAAGCGAATCCAAAGAAGAAAAAGAAAACAAAAATACAGAGAGAGATGGTAAGAGCTCCTTGTTGTTCTAAAGTAGGGTTGCATAGAGGTCCATGGACTCCCAGAGAAGACACATTGCTTGTCAAGTACATTCAATCTCACGGTGAAGGTCACTGGAGATCCCTCCCTAAGAAAGCAGGTACTAAATTACCATGGTTACGAGTTCGTTTGAGTTGAATTCGTTACCCAGTGATTGGTTTGATTTAATTCTGATTGTAATTTCTGTTATAGTTGTGACTTGGGGTTAATTTGCAGGGCTACTTAGGTGTGGAAAGAGTTGCAGGCTGAGATGGATGAACTATCTAAGACCAGATATTAAGAGAGGGAATATAACACCCGACGAGGATGATCTCATCATCAGATTACATTCGCTTCTCGGCAACCGCTGGTCTCTCATCGCCGGACGACTCCCTGGTCGAACCGATAACGAGATTAAAAACTACTGGAACACCCATCTCAGCAAACGTCTTTTAAGCAAAGGGACCGATCCCAAAACCCACAAGAAATTACCAGACCCGGTCGTGGTTCAAGCAGTGAGAAAAAGAAAAAAGAGCAGCTGCAACAACAAATCAAAGAAACCAGCCGAGCCAGAAAAACCCAAAATCCATCTCCCCAAACCCATTCGATTCACAGCTTCGGTTCAGTGTACCAACACATTCAGCACTGTGTCATCGAGCCAAGGAGGAGGAGAGGTACTGCAAGTCCCTTGGACCGAATATGTCAATGAGGAGGAGAATGGGATCGGGTTTTTATCTGGTTATTATAATAACAACGATGATCGTGATTTTCTCAACGGATCAGATTTCGAGTGTCAGTCTCATCATCATCAAGTATCTGGTACCGAAGATGATACTAATTCTCTAGACAAGCTTTATGAAGAGTATCTGCAGCTCCTGAAGACAAACGAAGATCAAGTGCAGTTGGATTCTTTTGCAGAATCATTACTGATATGATTATAACAGAAAATGGACCAAAAAAAAAGGTGGGATCTTGTTGTTTTTAATTATGTGTTTAATGTTCATCCAATAACAGTAAAGTTGGTTGAATTTGAATCTTAGCTTTCACGTGCTTATCTTCTACCTACATGTGCTTTTGGTAAATAGATTTTCAATGAAGCGGAGTTGTGGACATAACTTAAAGTCACTTTGAGCAGGCATAAATATGTAGGTACTATCTTATAAATGTTCACCACTGGCAGGTTTTGATGAATTGGGCATTATGGGAAATAGATAATGCAACTTATCAAGCGGTCAAAACAACAACATGGATCATACACTGATACACTGCTGATCCACCATATGTGAACTGAAAGTGACTTCTTGCTTATTGATGGTTTCACCATTCAGTCATTTGCCTATTTTGTTTTTTTAACGAAAATCTCTTTGGAATTACATCTATGCCTTCCTCCTATCATTTAAGTCTTTCGGAAAAGCTTCTCTTAATTACATTATAGGTTGAGTTAAACGTTGAATTTATAGTTTAAAACGAATAAAAATTATAAAAAAATTAAATTATATAAGAATTTGATCATTCCCACTAGCCCTTTTGATCCATCCCTGATTATAAGGTCAGCCTACTTCACTTTATGATCCCAATATACATATACACATTGTCACCATGCACACAATGCTCAAAGCTTGTCTCTTCAAAGATTCAACTGCAAAATATAACACACACGTGAGTGTATAACTCTTCATAGGTTAGAGAAGCATTGGCTTACTAAAAATGAGATTAGTTCTTTGAATTATCCATCGATGTAATTAATTACTTGATTACTGCTATGCGCGTGCTTTATATCATGTACTATGGATTTACGTATACCCATTTTCTGAGTGCAGAAGGCAAAGATTTGGCCGATACTCTGTTGAAACTCGAAAGTTGAAGATTAGTTTAGCAGAAAAGAAGTCTGAAGAGGTATTTGAATGGAGGAAGCAATAATTTTAATTCAAAAAGGTTATAAAGTTGTGTTAGGGTTTATAAAGACACACTTTCAATTAATTCCTAAAATATATTCCCTTGTTAAGTCTTGTCGTCCTTTGAGATTATTAAAACAAAACTCAAAACAAGTGGAGAGAAGTCCAGTGAACTGGAAATCGAATAAAATAAATAAATTAGAATATCATGATTTAAAATATTAGTTAATATATTCAGAGTGTCAACCTTCAAGAAAAAGAATAATATACATCATTGATATTACAAATTCCATATTAAAAATGGGCAGTTTCATAGTAGGATAATTTTTCTTCTTCACATTTTCCATTCGAAAAAGGAACAGAAAAACATTCTCGTGAGGAAAATTCTTTATGGTAAAAGAAAGAAATTATGAATAATTCATTCCCTTTTCTTGCAGGTAACAGTTATGCCTAGAATAAGTTAAACGACATGAGATGTTTGAAAATTAATCAAAGTATGTGTATGTGTTGATAGATAATGAACAACAGGGTAACGTCGGCATGAAAGCTGTGTATGAGTTAGAGAACAAATTGAGTCACACCATATTATTGAGGTACAGGGGAACAAAACTAGAAAGGCAAAAGATTAATGTCGGTCTTTTTTCATATTTATTTATTTTATTAGGGTTTTGGTAGTTAGATGACCTCGTGACCAACGTCAAGAATAAGGAGTTTGTTCAAGTGTTAAGTAGATTTTAAATTTGAGATCTTGTAAATATAAAAGTTTTCTGTTGATGAAAGATTTACCCACTAAAATTAAGCATGTGATACAGATTGATCTGGATTATTCAAAGTAAAATTTTAAGGAACTGAGAGGATAATAAAAAAAACGTTTAGTATAAGTGTAATATTATATTTAATTTGTATTGTAATGTTAGTTATCTGTTTAATTTAAAAATAAACTCCTGAAGTATGATTTGTACCTAAATTATTTTTTATTAGTTTTCACCCGGTCCAAACGTTTTTGTTGTGTGCATTTTCTTCTTTTTAATGTTTTTTATTCTGTTCAAATAGTTGATGTAACACTTTTTTATTATTTAAATATTTTATGTTCAAATATTTTTTAAATTATTTTCTTTTAACTTTTTCTCGGTAGTGATGGTAAAAGATCTTAAGTACGCTCACAAACGAATATAAAATTTTATATTAAATTATGAGATTTTAAAATTTTTGAGAGAGAAAAAAATTATAAAATTTAAAGAATGAAAATAGATTATTAATATAAAAATAAAAAATATTTAAAACATATGATAATTTGAAATTTTAAAAAATAACGTCTAATAGCCTTACAATATAGAAAAGGGCCTTCACCCTTTATTTGTTGTCATAAAAAAAAATCTCTCATCTTACTTTAGTAAAAGTTTGGAAAGTAGCAGCAAATGGTCCCATGCATCTACACGTAAACCAAATAAGGAAACCAGTCCATGATATCGAAATACAAGGCTCAATGTACATGAACATTTCACCATAATCCAAAAAGATACTAGTAGGACAACTGCATCTCGGCATTGAAAAAATTAATCTATCTTAAGGTCTCATTTGGAGAAAAAAAAAGATTTTTTTGATCCTTTAAGTTAAAAGTTTAGAAATTAATCCAACTTATTAAGTTAAAAAAATAGAATAATGGAAGTTATGTATGTATACAGACACACATCTAACATTCTCCAGCGGAGTTGCAGCTTCTTCGTACTTTAATTTTTGAGAGCTGAGCTGTTCGAGAGTGGAACAGCTGGGGTTGAAAAGCACGTAAGCTGGTATTTGAAGGAGAATAATATAGGCAGTTTGAAAATTGTAGGGCTAAGAGCTGTAGTACTTTCCAAAGATTTGATCCCCGTTCTTGACCTTATTCCATTGAAAGTAATTATATTCTACGCATCAGAGTTAAATTTGGGGAAGCTATAAGTCTAGAATGGATGACACTTGCACATGGTGTTGGTTTTATATCTAGTAATTATTGTTAGCTCAATTCCTTAACAATAATTACAAAATAAATGAACCCATATTGCTAATGCTAGCCCACCTAATCATTCTTGACCGACTGTTGGATAGAATTTAATCATTGATTTAGTAATAAATGATTCTGTGTATTAACACCCAATCTCGAAATTAAATTTTGACATTCCTTTAATCTCTACTTTTTTTAGGCACACAATTCGATGACGTAGCAGGGCATATAACAAATGCAGTGGCCTCTACTAGCACCGAGGGAGATCTGCAGGAGGATGCGGGAGAGTCTCCGGCTCTCCTTTCCCGTTTTCGACGATCAACACCGCGCCTAATCCCCATGACTGGTGTATTTCTAAGTGGCAATGCATGAACCAAACCCCTAAATATGGAATAGAATCAGATCAATATGTAATTGACATAAACATTATACTGAAAAAGATCTCAAAGTTGAGTATCGTACCTGGATTGTCGGCCACGAATCGAATTGCTGCCCATCCTCCTACCGGGACTCCGATGGTGTTCATATAAGGTGGATCGATCAAGTTAAAGTTTGCAGTCAATGGATTGAAGTTCCCGGTACCATATCCAACGACGTAGAAACTGTAGCCGTGAAGATGGATCGGGTGGTTTTCGGTGGTGACTGTACTAGTGTCCTGGAAGACAAGTTGTACCCTGCTTCCAAATTTGACTACTTTGGTCCTTGTTCCATTGATGGCCTGTGTGTTATTAGGAGCACTGTTTGGTGCCCCATTGGCAAAGTCAGCGAATTGAAGTGGTGCACCAGGGAAGTCCACTGTGAACTGACCGCCAATCTTCTTATAGTAAGCTTCCAGAATAGAAATAGTAGGCTTTACAAAGCTTATGTTGTTCATGGAAGCTGCAAATGTCCCATTGTTCATCCCTCGGCAGTTCTTCTGCGGTGTCTTGGACCGACATTTGTTGACGTTTAATCCCACGGTGACAAACAAGTTAGTATCGATCTGTTTAGGAACGTTAACCGGATTGAGGCTTCTAAGCCCATCCATGACGGTCATTACAGCAAGATTATCGTTAAAATTTGGTAATTTTGCCGGTAGCGATATGCTGTTAGGGACAGCACCCAAGTATTGGAAGTAAGCTGCGGCTGATCTGTTTTGGAATGAAATGTTCTGGGCAGACATGTAAGGTCCCATGGCCATGGAGTACTTTCCTATGGGCTGATCAGCAGTGACAAGAACATTCATGGTCTGTCCTGGTCCCAGCATCACACGATCCGTGGTGAATGGCTTGGTGTACTCGGCATCAGCCTCCACGACGGTTAGTTTATGATTAGCTATGGCAAAGAAGTTCTCCATGTTTAGACCTGCATTAATTAACCTTAACAGATATGTCTTCCCTGGTACAACATCGATCTTGTAGACATCTGCAAACCAATAATTATAATATTCATCCCTAAATATTCAACAATAAGGATGCCGGTACAAACTTTTCGTTTACCATTTCTAGAGCAGTTGTAGTTAGGGCCGGGGTGACCGTTAATGGTAAATGCATCAGCCGGTGGAGAAGGGCCGCCACTAGCTAGAACTTGCTGCTCAAGTTGTACTACATCTCTTAGCCAATACTCCCCTGGCAAATTTCCAGGTAATCTTCAAATTCCAAATATAACATTCCATAGTTCAGTATATCAGATTAAAGGCGATCATGTACCTAGGATTACGATGTGCTCTTCGTAAGGGTGCTTGAAATGGTAAGTGACCCCTGTCTTAGGATACACAACAATGGCACCATGAACAGTGGCCCTAAGCCAAGAAACATGAGCGTGCCAGAAAAAAGTGCCCTTCTGCTTCACCATTGTGAACTCATACGTGAAACTCTGACCAGCTTGAATGGGACACTGAGTAATGTAAGATGGACCATCAAACCAGCATGATAGCTTCTGCCTCACTCCATGCCTGAAAAAGAACAATAATCCAGCACTGGTTATGGATGAGAATGACATATAATTAGTAGTCAGTAAGTAATCAAATTATAAGCAAATACCAGTGAATTGTGGCATTGTAAGGGGTCTCATTGGTGACCTTGACAATGATCCTAGCATCCTCTTGCGCGTAAACAACAGGTCCCGGGAACATTCTGTTAATGGTCACAATCTCTTTGGTATTACACAATTTAGTAACCCTCATCGTTTGCACCCTGAAATCATAGAACCTGGTTGAACCCCCTGCAGGCCACTCATGTGCCACCACATGGAAAGATTGGAAACAGGACAACATTGACAACGTTACGAACATGAAAACGAAAGCGGCTAAGTCTGCCATTCGGAGTGAGAGAGATAGAGACATGATAGTTGAAGTGAAGAAGGCTAGGGAGGGAAACAATTTAAAAGGATGTGGAAAAGGGTGTTTTTTTTTTGCGTGCGTGTGTGTGTGTAGTAACGTATAATGTTTGTCAGCTTTCATGATTCCTCTAACATGGGATACGTTATAATAAGGTGTTGGGAGCGTGATTATTCATTGTGACCCCAATGTAGGGAATGGGATTTTATCCATCTTTCTGTCTTAAAACAGTAAAAAGCAGATAAATCTTTTGACTGAGAAAAGAATGTGCATAAACCCCACATCAACAGTTAGTTTCCCTACTCTGTATTCCATACAAGTTTGGCTATGGTATGAGTATTTCATGTGTATATAATGCAAGTAAAAGGGAGACAGTCCATGATACGACTTGAGAGGTGAGTGTTCAATAGATGAATGGGAATTTTGGAGTGAGAAATAAAGCAACAAAATAGGTCCATTTCAATTCTGTGGTACTCAAAAGAGAGCAAAGGCAAGTAAAGGATGGGTTTGTTTGTTGTGCTTTTGTTAGACAGCTGCCCTTTTTTACTCAATCATATGCAATGTTGGATTGAGACACGCCTTCCTAAACCAGCTTTTTTAGCTAAGACAGCTTTGAATAAAATGGGAAAGGAGCACTATGCATTATGCACATTGCTACAAATATTCGAAAGATAAAATCGTAAAACAAGAATACATAGATTTAACATAAAACTTAAATATAAAAGGATAAAGCAGAGAGTTTCCGATGTTGGGGAGTGATAGGATGATTGTGTCGCAAAGGCAAAGTTCATGATGTTGTAACTTCAATCTCACGCTATCTGCCATGCGTGTGTGATTCTGTCAGCCTCTAAAACCTCTGGGGGGGGGGTTTTCTCACTTCTTTTCCGGCTTTCTAACTCCATGCCCCAAGGATCAGACTTATGAATAATCAACTCTAATAAGAAAAGGAAGATTTTTCAACTCTTACTTTGAATATTCAACTTTCTTTTTCTCTTTTAGCATCCATGTCTCATGCTGCTCTGAGTGCTTACTTTCCAAGCATCTATTCCAACACCATTTACTATTCTACTTCTATTAATCTGTCTTTATTAACCTGCAAACAAGAAGCCTTTGACCAGCTAAAAGGTTCATGGAATAGTTAATGAAGACTTTCATTATCCATTTCTTTGGCTTATAAAAGATGTATATACCTTATCTTATCTACCCCCGACATTGCTTAAGCATATACTCAATAGTGTTCTTTGTAAGTATTCACATTTAGTGTTCTTAGGGTGAGCCCAAAGGTTGTTTTTTGATATCAAAATTCAGACGCCATATTCTATTTTCCTATTTAAAATATGAAGTTTAGGATAATTATGTATTTATAATTATTTAAACATGATAATTTTTAATATAGTTATTAATCGATTAATAAATTTATATTAGATAAATAATTAATTTATTTAAAATATTAAAATTCAAACTATAGATGATAGTAAACTCTTTTAATAACCTCAAAAATGCTCTCTTAAACATTATTATTTATTTATTATTATTAATATTATTACTCAAACTTTCCTATGTGGCCTATCTTTGAAAATTTTGAATATCCTACCAATAGTGATAGAAAAGAAATGATAGCATCAAGCAGCCCACCCCCCTTGTCTTATAAAATTTAATTTGGACCGACTACCACCTCTTGATCTCCTAATCATCCGCCACGTATACATTCATCGACGGTCCAACAAAGTGCTTCGTAAAATCACTAAAATTTCGTATAAAAAATAATAAAGATGGGCTAGAGACCTCCATGAAAGTGACTAAACGATGTCTGAATTGAAAACACGGTGTTCGGCCCTCACCATCCTTTGTCTTAATGAATAAAAAGCCTGGGTTTTTGTTCCAGTCTATGCAATTATAGCCTTATTTTTCTCTCCTTTTCTTGTTGGGTATGTTTCATTTGTTGAATTATGATTTATTATTGAACCTTGTTGCGTGCACTGTTTATTGATCTTTCTCTATGTTTACCTTTTGTGGTTCTTGTTCTTCAAGTATGTGTCTTTCTTCTCTTTCATGATGTCTAGTTATGAAAACACGATACTCTAGTTAGATTAGAGTTCGGAATTTACATTGCGTTGCCTGTTTTTGATGATCTAATGACGGTGGGTGTCTGGGGATGCATCTAAAGTTCACTTGAAACTACTCTTTTAGATTTTGATTTAAGGCAATGAAATCAACTTTACATTTGCTGTTTTGATCAGTTATGAACCTTTGTTTAGGTTATTACAATGACAAGAACATGGAATATCCGTAACTTGTTGTAAACACTCATTTTCGTCATGGATTTATTTTGATAGATTTTTTTTGAAATTTTCATATTATATAGCACATAGTATATATTTATATTATATTATATAGTATATATATAGTATATTTGTATAATATATTTTTAGTATTTTATATTTATATATAGTATTAATATATTATATATAATATATAGTATATATAGTTATATTATTATATAATATTATTATTTATATAATTATTAATATTATTATTTTTTGTTTTATTTTTAGGTCAAAGTCCAAATCTAATTCCAAATTAAAGTCCAATCCAACAAGGGTATAATGGGAGCCCAAACAAAAGCCCAAGTTAATTTTAACCACCATTTGTAATGTTGTCTTTGAATTTTTAATTAATTCAACTTAGTCCTTTTTAATTTACTTTTTATATTTTTGTAAATTGGTGCCTTGTCTTATTTTTTTGTTTTGCAGTATTTTTTTTAATTTAACCCTAATTTCATATTTTTAGGACTTTATTTTAAATATCAAAGTTCGTTAAAGATAAGTAATTCAGATCGAATATTTAAATTTTAATCAAGACTTCAAATTTCAAAATTAAGACAATCAGTAATTGTGTTGGTACCGAAAGGACAGTACAAGGGCGCTCATCTTTCCTTGAATGTAATCGACTCTTGGATCCGACTAATTTATGGTAAGTTGCAGATCAGATAAATGGTAAGTTTTAGGTGTCCGATCAACATAATTCGAAATGATCGGTGGCGACTCCATCACATCACTTCAAGTAGTAAGCGTGAATTTGGGACCACCCGAAGTACCGTTGCGACAACAATTGTAATATTTCAAATGTGGCTAGTTTTTGTTTTGACTATTACTTTATCAAATTTTTGTTGCAACAGTTAAATGTGTTAAAGAGAAGATTAATGGCAGCAGCTGAAGCAAGGGAAGTCTGGCAAAGAACAGCTAATCGTTGCTTTGTCCAAGAAGATGCCAAAAGAGCTCCCAAGTTAGCTTGCTGCCAATCGTCATCTTCCTCTAAACAGGCTTATTCTAGCCTCATTGGTGTAGCAGGTGCGCACGATCAGCCTGCGGTTGGTTTTATGCCCTCAACAGGACCCCTTACTATCCCAATCCACCCTCTAATATGAGGTGGTGGCTACAGCCTAGCAACGGACCCCAAAAGGGTTCAACAAATGAGCTGTTAAATGCCTTGGAGGATGGAGTGGAAAGCTACAGCCTAGCTACGAACCCCAAAAGGGTTCAACAAAAGGGCTCAGCAGAGACAATGAAAAATTGTGAATTATTGGAGATGGAATCCATAGAATGTGATGTTTCCAAGAAAACCAATGACTTCTCTTATGATCTAGGGTCTCCCTGGGTCGGAGGTGGGAAGGCCGAGCCATGGTGGCGCGTGACAGATAAAGATGAGCTAGCCTCCCTGGTTGCAAAAAAGTCGCTGGACTTTATTGAGAACTGTGATCTCCCTCCACCTCAGAAGATGCACATAAGGAGGTATTCGCGCGAATGTTCTGGTTGTTTTGATGGTGATGAAGTATCTTCTTCGGCTTGGAAGTCCCAAACAGACCCTGTCTCCAGTCTAATCGTTAATGCAGATGCGCATTGTGCTTCCAACTCTTGGTTCTGGTATTATTTTATAATGTGCTTCCAAAATGACTTCTTAGATGAACATTATTTTGTGTCTCTAGCCAACCAATACTTAAACATAGAATAAAACTATTTAACTTATCTCAGCTTCATTTGACTGCACTCCTATATTACAACCGAGAAGGATTTCGTAGAGCAAGTTACAGAGTCTGATCCTACTAAGCCTCAGCTACTCGAAGTGCTTCGTCAATCACAAATACGTGCAAGGGAAGCTGAGAAAACAGCAAAGCAAACCTACGCAGAGAAGGAGCATGTCATCAAGCTTATCGTCAAACAAGCCTCACAAATCTATTCCTATACACAGTGGTTCAAAATGCTGCACCTAGATGTTTATCTTCAGATTAAGAACAACGAGCAGCCAGTCTCCACTCTATTTCCTCTAGTTCTTCCATGGACATCCTACGATAGTTGCAAATCACGGGGAAAAGGTGGACGAAGAAAGCAGAGCCAGCCTAGACCGAGCATAACTACATGTGCCGTTGCTTTTGCATTGGGACTAAGTCTTGTTAGCGCTGGTTTGCTGTTGGGATGGACTGTAGGGCGGATGCTACCTTTCTAGATAGTTAGGGAGTTGCAACTAATCCCCTTGCTGCCATGAAAATTGCTTTGCCACAATTAATTTTACATTTTATTCGCCATGTTTATTCAATGCAAGTAATTTTCCATTTCTTTATTGTAGCCGTTGTATTATTTGTAGGTAGTGTACTTGAGGGGATACGTACAAGATGTCCATGAATTGTTGGTTGTACATATCTCGGGCGAAAATGTTCTGATAATTCTCTATGATAAATTTATAAATGTACTGTCAATCTTTTGAGTTCGAGTCGAATCTTATGAATTGAGAAAATAGGAATGTCTTAATTTTATTACTACTACCGTATGCAAACCATCCTAGTCCGGAAACTTTCAGAAGATAATAGTTGCATCCATAGCCGTAGCCATATATGCATCCAAATAAAAGTTATATATTACATTTGATCAGTCATTTTCATTCTCAGGGAAATATATCAAGCGGCTTAAATGGATAAGAATTTCGATTACTGCTGCGGCCTGAGGGTAATTCTTCAACTGATGGTTATCAATTACAGGGTGCCTTGATTAAAAGTCGGCCCCCATATGCCTATCCTTCTTTTCCCTTATGTTCCATGGAACCACTTGCTTTAAGCCTTCATAGATACTTGCCTGTCGTGTTTCAGACAACAAATCAAACAACTTTCTGGGATGTAGTAGTACAATGATTACAACAAAAACAATAAAATGATTTGATTTGTCAAATTAGAGAGATTAAATTTCGACTTTCAAAAGGAACAGAGAGAAACTTACCCAGAAATGGAATTTGGAATGAGAGAGACTATTCAAGCTGCCCCTCTTCTTCATCCTCTTGATACTAACGCTTACGCTGCTGCTACTGTACTCTTCTCCTTTATCTCTATACGATGGGAACACATAACTCTTCCCTCCAACATCGCTTCTCCTCCGAGAACCAAGAAATCCAGCTTCTTCCCTGTTCCCTCTCTCGCTAACAACCATTGTACCATCACCACGTTCCAGCACCATGTTCTCAGGGAAAAAGCTACCAGCACTAAATGACCCGTAACGCTCACTTTTCACCATTCTAAAAGAAGAAGACTGAAACCTAGCCCTGCCCAAGTAAGGACCATCCAAGACTGTGGTGGTCGAGCAAAGTTTCTCGTTGTTGTTGGTCTTCTTCTTATTTGCTTCCTGCAATAGCAGCAACCTGGGAGGCAGTTCCAGGCACTTCCGAGCAAAGTCATCGGAAAAAGTAGCGACCGTGGTGTAAGCCTTGGGCTTGCCCGGTTCCTCTTCCCACCGGAATGGGACCGAGGCCGAGGCGCGTAACGGTGGGGTTAACGTCCCTGGTCTTTCCGGGGACACCATGTGTGCATGCAGAGATGAAAACAATGGTAACCTCGATGGCTCTTTCTCTGCTTCAAATCCCATGGTTTGGTTCGAAAAGTGGTAACTAAATGTTCATTGTTATACTATAAGGAAAGGAGCGGGGAAGGAGTTCTTTTTAACGTATGGAACGAGAAGTCGAGAGAAAAACTCATTAGCTAAAGGGTCAACTTTTCTGTTAGTCCCTCTATTATAACTAGTTTGTGGATTTAATTATCGTAAAAAAATAATACATTAATGAAATTATCAAAATAAAATGATATTGGTAGTTTGATGATTGATACACACTATTTTAAAGTTTAAAGATCATTTTAGAATAGGTTTATAATTTGAGGATTGATATAGAATATTTTAAAATTTAAATACTAATTTAAAATGGGAGTTATAATTTGGAAACATCTTGTTCAATTATATTTGAAATCTATTAAGTCAAATTCTTCTATTAGTTCATGTATTATGTATAAGTTGCTGATTTAATTTTTATTATTCAATTTGACCATTCTAATTTCTTTAAATCTGGTCATATTATCTATATACCATTTGAGTCAAGATAAATCAATTAAATTAGAAAATATAAATTAAATCATGAACTTTTGTATAATATAGGGACTAATGATAATTATACCTAGAAACAAGGAGAATCAAAATTAAGATTATATGTTCATTATGCATGATGTTACATGCATGCTTAACAGAAAACTAATTACCATCCATTAATGCATGCAACATTCGTTAGATTTAGGGTCACAGCATTGTAGGTTAGGGAAAATGTGCGAAGAAATCGTAGCTTCAAGGCATATTTGCGATCAAACACGTGTGGAACTTGTGCTTCCACGAGTTTAAGAGCCCTATATCTGTGGGACAATATAGACAATATAGACAATGTTTAAAGATGCCCTTCAGCAACAAGTTTGGCAGATCAAATGCCAAGCTCGAGGTCGAAAGTTTATGGTGTTTTTAACACCCATCATCGTCGTCACCTCCATTTCTGTCACATGCTAAGAAATCGAATATGTACATGAGAATGTCTTATATGGATAACATATATGGTTACCTCTTTAATGGCCTCCTGAAATGGGGTAATACTCAAGGGCGGAACTAAGAATTTATGATAGTGGGGTTAAAGTATTTTTTTATTTTTAATAAATATATTTTTTAAAGTCGAGGGGCATGATAAGTTTTTTATTTATTTTTTAAAATTATATATTTTTTATATTAATTAATATTTTAAAAAATAATTTCCGGGGCCAAGGCTGAAGTCTCTTTGGCCCCCGTAATGTTCCACCAGTGGTTATACACGAATGTTAGAAATTTGTAAATAGAAAGATAATAAAAAATAAAATTTAAACAAGAAAATATATATACATGTAAAAAAACGATATTTAATGTAGTGCGATCTTATATATAAGAAACAATAATATATTATCAAAATATAAAATTACGTGTATCACGTTAACGTAAATCTGATATATATATATATATATATATCTAAAATCTCTAAATAAACGATAATGAGTAAAATAAATGATTGAAAAACAAAAATGTCAATATTTACGTGAAATATTTTTAAAAAAATAACGAATAAAAAGATAAATTCACTATAACACCAAGATTACAAATAATTTACAGTTAAAAAGTCCCAAATGAAATCTAACTTTCCATCGAATTATAACTTTAATCTCTCATCTATTTATAGAGTGATTTATTTGACGACAATATTAATATTATAAAGAGTGTTCTTTAGTATGATTTTTTTAGTTGAACTTTTAATTTGGATCGATCCAAATCGCACACTTCTAATCAAAAGTTGATAAAAAATGTATAATCTCTTGTATGAACTGAAATAGTGAAATGTTCCGCAAGGACCGTACTATGGTATTCTGCCTAGGGATGGTCATGGGTCGGGTTTTGGCCAACCGACCCTACCAAAAAAATTTATATCTTTTACCCGACCCAAAAATATATACCCTTCACCCGACCCGACATTTTGAGATAAAATCCGAACTCGATCTGACCCGACCCGAAATAATAATAAAAATATTATTTTTATTAAATAAAAACATTGATTTAATTGAAAAAATAATTTATAGAAAGGTATTATTATAATTATTCTTATATATATAATGTAAAATTATTTTTTGGGGGGTTGGGTCGGGTATATTTTACCCTAAACCCGAATCTGACCCGACCCTGATTTTTTTTTTAAAAAAACAAACGTCTCGATCGGGTTGGAACCCGTCGGGTTCGGTCCCATGCCCATACCTAGTTATGCTCCAACAACCTCGATCAGAATCAATGGTGGATTTCAACCTGATAGGCCTATATCCACCATAAATCTCGTACTTTCTCTCAAGTTATTTTTTCTATCAAATAAATCACACTACAAATTGTACACGTTAAGTGAAAACAAAAATTGAATTATAAACTCAAACATCAAGTCTACTCTAAACTTGGTTAAAATTGTAAATGGTTAGGGTACTTTACAAGTTTGGTAACATAAAAGATAGAAGGTGAAACAGCCGTAAAAGCACTTATTTTTCTATATAAAGAGAGTGGTTGAAGCATAAGTTGAAAAAACTTCATTATCTGCAGTATATTAAATTCCATCAAACGTCAAATCTTTTCAACAATGACTCTCAGCCGGGTTCATTAGAGGATCCCTCTTTGGACGTTATGACTTTTGAGCATCTATTGATTAACGCACGAGGTAAGTAAAACGAACAAAGGATTAACAATGCCACTTGATGCCCAAATTACCAAGGCTGCTACAAATCTCCAAATCAACTTCTTAAACCACTATTTGCGTGCCTTTTTGCTCTTTCTCGCTCTTCAACCATTTCAATACTAAAATATGATGGTCCAATTATGGTTTTGGTCCCTATGTTGTATTCCAATTCTAATCCTGTGCTTTAATTTAACATAATATAATATTTTTGTTTTCATAGTCTTATTTGTAACTCCAAATAGTTAAAACATTGAATTATATCGGTTAAACTAATTATGTCAATCAATCTTAAAAACATTTTTCCAAAGTTCTTATCATGTTGACATGTATTCTTGTTCTGGTGTTAGAATGGTGGTTGTTAAGAAAAAACCAACATCACTATTTTAAGCGAATAATTGTTAACTAACTAATAACATTATAAAAGTATTAGAGCTGTCAACTGAATCTTAACTAGTATAATTGTTATTGTAATATAAAAAATGGTTTAAAACAGAATTTTACCAAATATACTTTAATTATCATGTTTACTATTAATAGAAACTTAAATTCTAGTACTAATATAGTATTGTCTTTTACTATGTTCTTTTTGCCCATTTTCCTCTTCATGTTGAAGCTTTTAAAGCACCAACGAGTCACTAATTCTAAGCACCTGCAGCCTCATCTATTGATGGACATAAAGATGGTCAATTATAAAAAATAATTCCATTCAAACTGACATTGAAAATATTGTTTTGCCTTCGTTGGATTCTGACCATTTATTTTCCCCAGAAATCACTGGTAAGAAACAATGCAGCCCAGCAATTGAACAAATGGGAGTTGTTGGGTGAAGCAGTTCCCTATGATTGAGAGGGGAAGGTCAATGCCATGGCCCTTGGGTAAGTGAGCTCATCGTTTGGGGGGCCACCACTCGCCCGTCTCCGCCAATCCCTTGACCGCATCCATTATCGTCTTAGACACACGACAGTGATACCGGTTACCTTCATCGAAGGTTTTACTTCTGCCACTATGCTTGTGAAAGGTAAGGGGGAGAGTTATTCTCATATTACATGAGAACACCAATACATTGTATTTTTAGATATAAAATTCAAGTTCTAATTTTATTTATTAAAAAGTAATTATTATTTAAAATTTCAATTATGACAAGACATTAAATTTGTTAAACGGAATTAAGAGTTCAAATCTTAGTATATTTAATGAAACAAAGTGATTTGGGAGGATCTTGTCCATAAATAGACATTTATAATACTTAACCTAAATTAATTCATAAATAAATCAAATTATAAATGATTAAAAAATAATTGTTATAATAAATCATAAAAAATACCTATTACCAAACAAGGATGCAAAGGTAACCACACAGTCCTTTAGGGTAACATAATAGCCTAGTTATGGGCCGTATTAGGACCGAAAAGTTGAACATCAAAAACCAAAAGAATGACATCATGGGCCCAAGTTATTAGAACATTAAAAAATGGGCTAACGTCAATGACACACAAGCAATTACTAATTTATTTTTTTATAGTTATCACGAGTTTATTGAATATTAATTTATTTTAGTTTTTTAAATAATAAATTGAACCATATCCTTTTATTAAAAAAATAAGAAAAATTTTACCCTAATTTTCACTCAAACAAGTAGTTAATATTTAATTTTACCAAATGAAATGAAATGTATATTATTTCAAAGAAAATATTATAAATTTATATCAAAATAATACCTATTAAAAAACAAACATTTAATCTGAAAAGTAAGACTTATTATGATATGGCCCACCACTATATATATATATATATAGTACTTTGTTAGCTGATATTGACTGGTGGTCACAGAACACTAAAAAAAATGTTGAAAATGGAAAGATTAGGGTGACTAAGAATACAAGTCATCAAATTGACAAATCTTAAATATCGAAACAACACTTCCCCTATGTTGCCAACCCTCGTTTTGGAAATCCTTGTAACTGGGACAGCTGACCCAACTGCCCCTAGCCACAAATTTACCAACTTTGTAATGAAATTGCTCCATATTATCATACAGGTACATACAATAAATATGGATAAAGACCTGAACACCGTACCTGACCCTTTAAGGAGAAGACGACGACTTTTAACTGAGAGGACATATAATGTGGATAAAACTTTTTGGGCAGGGCAAACTTTTTGACAGCACGTTGGGGTCCTCTGTTCAGAGAACACCACCGAGCCATCGAGATTGATTTCAAATGGTGCGAAAGCAACAACTCGGGATTTGTTCATCAAATGGTAAGTGGGGGAACCAACCAACAGGAACTAAGTGTCTGATTAAATGCATGCACTTAAGCCTT